GGGGATCACTCTCACCCCTGAGCAGGCCCAGGCCAAGGGGATCACTCTCACCCCTCAGCAGGCCCATGCTAAGGCGACCACTCTCACCCCTCAGCAGTCCCAGGCACGGGGGATCACTCTCACCCCTTATCAGGCCCAGGCACTGGGGATCACTCTCACCCCTGAGCAGGCCCAGGCCAAGGGGATCACTCTCACCCCTGAGCAGGCCCGTGCACTGGGGATCACTCTCACCCCTGAGCAGGCCCAGGCCAAGGGGATCACTCTCACCCCTGAGCAGGCCCGTGCACTGGGGATCACTCTAGCCCCTGAAGAGGCCCAGACACAAGGGATCACTCTCACCCCTGAGCAGGCCCAGGCACAGGGGATCACTCTCACCCCTGAGCAGTTCCAGGCCCAAGGGATCACTCTCACCCCTCAGCAGGCCCAGGCACAGGGGATCATTCTCACCCCTCAGCAGGCCCAAGAACAGTGGATCACTTTCATCCCTCAGCAGGTGCAGGCCCATGGGATCACTCTCACCTCTGAGCAGGCCCAGGTCAAGCAGATCACTCTCACCCCTCAGCAGATTCAGGCCCAGAGTATCACTCTCACCCCTCAGCAGGCACAGGCCAAGGGGATCAATCTTACCCCTGAGCAGGCCCAGGACTTGGGGATCACTCTGACCCCTCAACTGTCCCAGGCACTGGGGATCACACTCACCCCTGAGGAGGCCCAGGCCCAGGGTATTACTCTTACCCCTCAACAGGCCCAGGCCCAGGAGTTCACTCTCACCCCTCAGCAGGCCCAGCAACTGGGAATCACTCTCACCCCTGAGCAGGCCCAGGAACTAGGAATCACACTCACCCCTCAGCAGGCTCACACACAAGGGATCATTCTTACCCTTGAGCAGACCCAGGCCCAGGGGATCACACTCCCCACTCAGCAGGCCCAAGACTTGGCATTCACTCTCACACCTCAAGTGGCCCAGGCACAGGAGATCACTCTTACTCCTGAGCAGGCCCAGGCTGAGGGGGTCTCTCTCACCCCTCAACAGGCCCAGGACTTGGGGCTCACTCTGACTCCTCAACTGGCCCTGACCCAGGCCCAGGCCCAGGGGATCACTCTCACCCCTCAGCAGGCCCAGGCTCAGGGGATCACTCTCACCCCTCAGCAGGCCCAGGCCAAGGGTATCACTCTCACCCCTCAGCAGGCACAGACACTGGGAATCACTCTCACCCCTCAGCAGGTCCAAGCACAGGGAATCACTCTCACCCCTCAGCAGGCCCAGGCATTGGGGATCACAATTGCCTCTGAGAAGGCCCAGGCCCAGGGGATCACTCTCACCCCTGAGCAGGTACAGATACTAGGGATCACTCTCACCTCTCAGCACGCCCAGGTCCAGGGGATCAATCTCACCCCTCAGCAGGCCCAAGACTTGGGGTTCACTCTCACCCTGCAGCAAGCCCTGGCACAGGGGATCACTCTCAGCCCTCAGCAGGCCCAGGACTTGGGGTTCACTCTTACCCCTGAGGAGGCTCAGGCACAGGGGATCACTCTCACCCCTCAGCAGGCCCAAGACTTGGGGTTCACTCCCACCCCTCAGCAACCGCTGGCACAGGGGATCACTCTCACCCCTCAGCAAGCCCCAGATCTGGGTATCCGTCTCACCCCTCAAAAGACACAGGACCTGGGGATTACTCTTACCCCTCAGCAGGCCCAGGCACAGAGGGTCCCTCTCACTCCACAGCAGGCACAGGACCTGGGGATTAGTTTTAACCTTCAGCAGGCCCATGCTCAAACTGTCACTCTTTCCCCTCAATCAGCCCAGGTATTTGGTGCCACTCTCACTCCTGAGCAGGTTCAGGCATTGCTGCCCCCTCTCCCTTCTGATCAGGGAGTAGGCATCACCCATACCCCCACTATCACTCCAGAAAAGTTTCAAGGGGCATCAAACATTATTAGCCTGGAGCAGTTCCATGCATTGAGAGTCACTCCCTCCTTCCAGCAGGCCCAGGCACTTGGCACTCCTCTCACCCTGGAAAAGCTCTCCACATTGGCTCCTTCCACTCTTAGACCATTTYATGAATTGAAGACTTCTTTCCCCACTAAACAATCCATTCCATCAAGACTATCTCCAAGCCCTGGTAGTCCTAGGAAAGGCCAAGGAATGCAYATTCCTTCTGGCCTAGGAAAGCTCTTGGCACCACAAATCTTTCCTACCTTTAGACAGATTCTGGTAGGTCAATTCATTCCTGCACAGTCTGCAGCACCAGAGATCTCTCCTAATCTTGGGCAACTCMCAATATCTTGGGTCCCTCCCATTCCAGGACAGCCCCTTGAACAGGAGGCCCTTAGTTCTAGGCAGTTCTTCATATCTAGGGGCCTTCCGACTCCCCGGCCACCTCTGATACTGCAGACCCCTGTCACTCCCAGGCAACCTCTTATATCAAGACTCCCATCCACCTTTGGACAGATCCCCAAACTCCGGGGTCCTCTATCTCCTGGAAAGCCCTTGGTTCCTGAAGCCTCTTCCATCCCCAGGGAGCTTCAGGAATCTGGACCCAGCTTTTTGGAGCAGCCCCAGGCACTCCGGCCTTCTGCCACCCCTGAGCCCTCTCCCTATCTGCAGACCTCTTCTCTCTTTGGGCAGCAACTGGCACCATGGATTATTCCCGGGCAAGTTTCATCACTATGGGTCCCTTCCACTCCCAGACATCCTTCCACATTCTGGCCTCCCACAGCCCCTGAAAAGCCCCAGGGAGTTTTGTCCTCTTCTGTTGCTCAGAAAAGATTAGCAATTATTTCTTCTTTGAAATCTAAACCAGCTTTGGTTCATCCAAGTGCTCCAGATTCTAAGGTATCTCAAGCTCCTTTCACCACTAAGAAGGCCCAAATATCAGAGGTCTCTGACACTTCTGAAGAAACCAAGATGCTCCAAGATACTTCTGCCATGGGACCATTTGAAACATTTCAGTCCCATCTCACCAATTATAGGATACCAATATTGCAAACCCCTCACATTGATGGGCAGGCCCTTCCACCTCTCATGAAACCTCAAATGTCACTACCTTCTCTAATAACTCAACTACCCAAAATATCACAGATCTTACCTGCTCAATGGGACCAGAAATCTCGATTCCCTCCTATAGACAAACCCTGGATTCTGCCTTCAGTTTTAGGCATCAAGAAACCAAAGGTGACAGTGCCCCCTTCCTCTCCCCAAGAACTTGAAGAAAAGAGATATTTTGTTGATGTAGAGGCTCAGAGGAAGAATCTCATACTATTAAATCAGGCCTCAAAAACTTCTGGACTCCCTTCGCAGCAACATACAACGGCTAGGAATCTCATAATTGAGACACTTCATATGAACAATATTCGGCTGGGATACCTGTTCCGCAAGTACATTGCCTATAGCCTGATCCAGCATGCCAGGTAGATTTAATTATCATATCCAGTTTTCTGGTACAGTTCTGATTTCAAACACCCCCCCTCATTGCCTAGAAGTATATTCATATTTATCAGATCATATGCTTTAAAGCATTCTTATAGAAGTTCTGTGGGATGGAAACTTGTTTAGATAGCAAAAGCAGGGGCTGGGSTTGTGGCTCAGTGTGGCTCAGTGCATGTGTGAGGCACTGGGTTCAATCCTCAACACCACAAAAAAAATGAAAGTAAAGGTATTGTATCCTTCTACAACTTAAAAAAAGATAGCAAAAGCAGACTATTTTTAAATGTGTATTTTTTAGTTGTCAATAGACCTTTATATTTTTTTATATGCAATGCTGAGGATTGAACCCAGTGCCTCTCATATGCTAGGCAAATCCTCACAACTGAGCCACAACCCCAGAACCAGTAGATATATTTTTTAGGAAATAAGAAATTTAATATATATCGTGGTGCACACCTGTAATCCCAGATGCTCAGGAAGCTGAGGCAGTGAGGCAGGAGGATCACAAGTTCCAGGCCAGCCTCAACAACTTACCAAGACTATCTAAAAATAAAAAGGGAAGGGAAAGGAGGAGGAGGAGGAGGAGGAGGAGGAGGAGGAGGGGGAGGAGGAAGGGAAGAAGAAGAGGAGGAGGAAGAGGAAGAAGAGAAGTAGAAGAGGAGGAGGAGGAGAGGGGAAGGAGAAAGGAAAAAATATATATAACTTGATCCATTTCATCTATTTATATCTCTAGTAGAGATTTTAAGATATATTTTGTGGATATTATAGATGATCTCCAAAATATCAACTTGAAAAGCTTAGAGATGCTTGACAGTTATTCTGAATCTCTGTCATCTTCAGTTCACCAGAGATGTATGACTTTTAAAATGGGAAATGGCAGGTTATATACAAGATGTTGTTATAGCAGTTTTGCTGCTGGTCTTGATTTTTTAAAATTTCAAATATCAGAAATGGGTCAAAGTAAATAACAATTGTCTTGCTATTCTCAAAATTTGTGTTTGAGGTTACTAACCTATTATTTAGGAAGAAATTTTTAATCTCAAATTATAGGATGCAAATTTAGGGACTGGGGTTGTGGCTCAGTGTTAGAGTATACCCCTAGCATATGTGAGGTTCAAACCTCAGTACTACATAGAAATGAAATAAAGATATTGTGTCCACCTATAACTAAAGATACCCATAATATCAGAAAAGGCTATCATTAATTTTATGAACAGCTTACATAATTTATTCAATAAATCTTTATTAGGTGCCAAGCATTGCTCTAGGTGCTAGGGATACCCCAGGAAAGAAAACAAAGTCCCCTGTTCTCTTAAAATTTATATTTTAGGAGGTCAAATTCATTTGGAAACTGAAGGATTAGAACAAAGTACAAAAGGAAAACTTCTTCAACCTATAATCAGAACTTCTAATTTCAAAGCTTAAGTTAGTTGAGATTTGTTGAAAAATGTTTCACTGTATACTTGTGTTTAATTTTCTCTTTCCACATTGAGAAACCCCAGGCTTTTAATTAAGATTTTACATCTAAACACTTTCATCCACTGGCTTTGAACTTGCAATCCTCCTGCCTCAGCCTCCCAAGCCACTGGGATTACAGGCGTGCAMCACTGTACTTGGCCCAAGTTTAACTTTTAAAGAAAAATTTATAATCCTTAGTATAGGGTAACTGTAACCACAGGTCTGCATAGGTTAGTGGCAGTGACAAAAATCAAAGTATAACTTTAAATCTCTTGTATGTTTAGGAAACTGTGTTGATGATCAAAAATAGACTTATTATCTGATGTATAAATGCATCTCATTTTTGTAATAATCAATCTTTTACATAGTACTTAGACAAAACTTGGACAAATATATTAGTTCCATACCTAGAAGTTTCTTGTATTTCTTTTCTAGTTGCTGACCTTTTCTTAAATTTACATTCTGAAACAATCCTTATGAAATTTCTGAATTTTTCCAATTACTCCTAATAAGATGAAATATATTATGCTATTTATAATACTTTAATTGAAACACAGCTGAAACATTTTGTATTCTTTGCATATAAAATTACACCTGCTAGAATTTTAGTAACCTTGTTTTCACTAAAGACCCAGAAACAAAGTAAACCTAAAGAGTACTTGAATTTATATTTAGCAGTTGATGTTTTAGTAGTAATTTTAACTTTGCAATTTAATCGGAGGTCTCCTCTAACAAAAACACATTTATATCCCATCTGATTCAAATGTATGATATGTCAAGATCATTGTACTGTCATGTGTAACTAATTAAAACAAAAAAAAGAAGGAAATCATCCCTCATTTATGAAAGCAAAAAACCCCCACATTTATGAAGATTAATCCCATTTATTTATTTAATATGTATATTTTTTAGTTGTATATGGACACAATATCTTTATTTTTATTTATTTATTTTTTATGTGGTGCTGAGGATTGAACCCAGGGTCTCATGTATGCGAGGCAAGTGCTCTACCACTGAGCTGCAATCCCAGCCCTAATCCCATTTATGTTAATCTAATTTATTCATTTTTTTAAATTATTAGCTTTAGGTTACCCATGAAAACCAGAATATCAGACTCGTGTAGTTAACAGTATAAGTCATCTTTTTCCTGCTGAAGAAAAAGCCTAGAAGCAATGGACATTATACTTAAAACATTTTATAGGAATTGGCACTTTACTGAATTCCTGACCACTTAGAAAAACATCCTTAATCTTATCTGGTTAGCCAATTTAAATTGAACTTTTTCTTAAAGGCTTAAGTCATGTGACCTAAAAGACACTTGGATCCATTTGTTTCTTTTTTAAAATTTAACTTATGAGCACTCATTTATCTATATGCTAATTTTGGGACCAAAACATATGCTATACAGTTGCACATAAATATACATTAAAAACTGACAAAAAAACAAAAATTTTTGAGCTTTCCCTTGAATAATTGGCCTCTGAAAAGACAGAAGAAAAAACAGATAGAGCTAAAAATAAAAACTCTACATTCGGGCTGGGGATGTGGCTCAAGCGGTAGCGCGCTCRCCTGGCATGCGTGCGGCCAGGGTTCGATCCTCAGCACCACATACCAACAAAGATGTTGTGTCCGCCGAGAACTAAAAAATAAATAATAAAAATTCTCTCTCTCTCTCTCTCCTCTCTCACTCTCTCTTTAAAAAAAAAAAAAAAAACTCTACATTAGACAAAACAAGACTAAGCAGAACAAAATGGGTGGGGGAGGGCCTGGGTTGTGGCTCAGTGGTAGAGCGCTCGCCTAGCATGCATGAGGAACTGGGTTCAATCCTCAGAACCACATAAATATAAAATAAAGACATTGTGCCAACCTAAAACTAAAAAATAAATTTAAAAAAAAAATGTGAATTTACCACAAAAAGTATGAGCTTAAACAAAAAAAAAAAAAAAAAAGAGCACAAGTTCTGAAAAAAAAAAAATTGCATGGACGTAATTACTCTAGTAAAGAAGCATGAAGAACATCTCCATCAGACCAGAGATCACTTTTGGATCAGAATAGAGTCAGTCCAGGTATTTAAAGGACATGGGAGCTCATGAATTCCTAAAGAAAAAGGTTCTCAAGGTAAAGAAAACTTGTACATATGGGATCTTTCAATTTTCCTTCCCTATGCCCAACTTTTGAGGAGAGAAGAGGAAACCCCTCCAGAAGCAGGGTGTCCCCTGATATTTCCAGGTTTATCCTATCGGCTTCCTGAAGCTGAATCTCAGTGATTTGGGGTAATACCTGCTGTGTTATTCCAAAATAGAATGCAGACCTCTTAAGCATCCTCAAAAGGTTGAGGACCTAGCACAGCTAGCCTTTCCAGATCTCTTCTATCTCTCCTGTTCTTTTTGTTGTTGTTGTTGTTTTTTACCAATATTTGACAATCTGTCATTTCATTAGAAGGTTTTATGTTAGATGCTATAGACAAAYGTGTTATATTTTATGTTTCCCTCTGGAGACAATTTTCCTATTCCCCCAGTTGGTAATCAGGCCTGGTTCGGATACAGAAAACAAATTAAAAAAACAAAAACACATTTAAGGGGCTGGGGTTGTGGCTCATCAGTAGAGCACTTGCCTAGCATGTGAGAGGCCCTGTGTTTGATCCTCAGAACCACATAAAAATAAATAAAATAAAGATATTGTGTCTAACTACAACTAAAAAATAAATTTAAAAAAGAAACACATTTTWAAAAAATGATTTCTATTGCCACTGCCTGTAGACAATAAGGTACCCACTTTTATATCCAAACTTACACCCTGGTCAGCTGCCTTTAATTGTCTCAAGCTTTCCTCAGTTCCACACATTCATTTTAATATATTTAAATTTTTATATTTTCTTCAGAGTTATAAAATATTGAAGTCATGATTTTGTTAATTTTAACAACCATAAGGGCCAAACTGAACATAGTTAATATAATGTGTAAATGGGGTGTCTACTTTTTTATAATTTAAAAACACTATGTATAAAGATGTGAAAATGATGGGATGGAAGATTTGGCTCAGTTGGTAGAGTGCTTGCCTCATAGGCACAAGGCCCTGGGTTCAATCCTCAGCACCACACACATTCACACACACACACACACACACACACACACACACACACACACACACAAACTATAATATTAAACATCGTTTTAAAAAAGATGTGAAGGACTGGGGCTGTGGCTCTGTGGTAAAGTGCTTGCCTAGCACATGTGAGGCACCGAGTTCAATCCTCAGCACCATATAAAAATAAATAAGTAAAATAAATGTATTTTTAAAAAAAGATGTGAAAATGAGAATAAACTTTAATTGATAGAGTTTTCTATAGAATATATTCATTATATCTAATTCAGAAATATATTTTACAAACAAGTTCTCATAGTGTCCTTAAAATATGTTGTATCTCACTGGCATCTTATATACTCTACCAACCATTTCCACAAGCAGTGGGGAAGAGGGTGACTCTCAAGGACTGGTGGGAGAATGAGATTAAGTTTAGATCTCTCTATTCATCCAATGACATCTGCTTGAAGGAGTAGCCTCTTCCCTTCTCTTTATTTCTTTCTGTCTTCCAAATCTCTCCCGTTCTTTAGCATTAGGGAGGAACTTACTGAGAGAGCAGAATCTCAGAGCACAATAAAAGAGAAAACAGTCTTTTATGTCCCATAGTAGCTTGGATTTAAAAGTGACACTTTCCTTCTCTGGTCTTAAACTGATTTGGGCACTTGCTCATGTGGCTTACATTTTAGATGTGTATCAGATAGGCAGTTAAAGAGTAGAGAAAGCTGCTGTTTTGAACATGGAAGGCAACAACTCATACATAGGGCATTTTTTATCATGTTTATCTGTCTCCTTTTTGTAAAACCAGTMTCTTATGGTGTGGTGTTATAGTTTATGTTTCCCTCTGGAGGTTATTTCTCTATTTTCCTACTTGGTAATCAGGCTAGGTTTGGATGCAGAAAATTATCAGGCATTTCCTTTTTCTCAACTATGATTAGGTTGTTCCCTGGTATTATTTTTGAGGCCAAGGCTCCCTTCTGAACAACAACCAAAAAGAACAAAAGGGAACAGAACATGGACACCTGTGCCATGGAAACTCTCTTTGGCTAGGGAACATYTCCCAGATTCTGTAGCCTCTGTCTTTGGCTAAGTGATGTCTCCCAGATTCTGGAGCCTCTAGTGGTCAGCAGTTTCCATTCTCCTTCCATGATCTCTGGACTTAACTGCTGCCTTACCAGCATGGTAATAACTTCTCTCCTCCTTCATGGGTGGCCATGAAAAACATGCAAGCTTTTAGACTAACTACCCTTTCTGTGTGACTTGTTAACCTGGAAGCCCATGAAATTCTTAGATGCCTTTCTTATAATGAATCCTAGTCTGTCTATGCTGAGCCTATCATTAGTTAATAAATTTTGGTGGGGGTACTGGAGGGGGCAATTGGGCCTCACTCAGAATGAAGGATACTAACTTCTTGATAACTATTTAGTTTAAGGGAGGATATTTGCCATCAAGCTGTGCCTTTAAAAACTTTCTTACATGTTCCCTTTGTCCTTTTGGGTCCCCATACTCATAGAAACATGATTTCATATTATGCTCCTCAATTAAAGTGGGAAGAAAGCCCATTAGTGTTCTGGGTGATATCCCCAATAGAGAAAGTAAATAATTTGGCTCTGTGAACTAGGAGAGATAAAGGATCGTTTACTCTAATAAAATGAAACAGAACTTCTGTTCTTTTTCCTACCAGATAAAGGGAATACAGAAGAAAAAAATAATCTCGTGAGGGTCTAGGGAAGGCAGTCTAATTATGAAGTTATATTACAGTAATCTTGCCTAATGGATCCCTGTTTAATAGGCAGACACCAGGTAGAAGTATTTTTGAAGAGGCAGAGACTGCTTAGCTCATGCTCTGGGGATTAATGAATGGGTCACCTCTTTCCCAAAGACCTCAGATCAGACTAAGACTTAATCTCAGATCCAAGATTCATCAAATGAGGGTGCCCTCCACCATGGGGCCAAGTCAATCAGTAACAGAAAGAACAGAYGGTGGTTGATATTTGGTACCCTTTAGGGCTGTTGGGGTCAGACTCTGGACCTGAGATCTTCATGCAGCACTGGGGAGTGGCCCTGGTCAGCTGCCTTTAATTGTCTCAAGCCTTCCTCAGTCCCACACACCAACTTTCACCCAGAGAGGAAACTGAAGCAAGTCAGGACTGACATTCCCAATTGGGTGAAGGGGGAGATCTGTACAGTTGGCAATAGCTGGGGCAAGATCTATCAATCATGTCCGGACACTGAATCAATGGTTCAGGTGGCCACTTGTCCATCCATGAGATAGATCCATGTCAGCTATCATTACTGTCTATTTTACTTTTAAAAAAATCTTTTAAAGGAAAAGATCTTTTCCTTTTTCCTTTAGTCCCAAGAGAGTTTGAGAGTTAGCYATTGAAAAGCTGCTTAAGACAACATCTTTGAATAATTAGCCTTTTTTTGGGTACCGGGGATTAAACTCATGGGCACTCAACCACTGAGCCATATCCCCAGCACCCCCGCCCCCTTTTTTGTATTTTGTTTAGAGACAGGGTCTCACTGAGTTGCTTAGCACCTCCTATTTCTAGGGCTGGCTCAGCCTCCTGAGGTGATAGGATTACAGGTGGGTGCTACCTCCTGTGGCTTAATTATCCCCACCTTTTTTTTACAGGCAGTTTGAGGGAAGGGGGAAACCCAGATAGTCAGATCTTTATCTATTTTTCCCATTTACAGAACAAACCTCCATTCTCTAATTTATATTGGGACCAAGTCATTATGGGAAAAAAAATTGATTTAAGTCCTCTGTCTTAAACTAATTTCAATTGCTTAATATGCACCCAAGGGGTGAGTTCTCAGGGATATACCCTAAATTACCCATAACCTCCAATGTAGTTTTCTGGAAAGAAAACAGGACTTGAGGTAGTCTTTGAGTTCCCAACCAGGATCAAACTTTTTTAAAAGTCTGTCCCATACTTTATCTTTGGGGTATACTTTGTGTCTATCAGGACCAGACCTTCAAGTCTGTCCCAAATTGTCTGCAAATTATCAGTAGTATGAATGTCCTTGTTCCTGTTATGCAGTTTTCAGGGTATTTTATAACCCCTACCTACACCTCAAGAAAATAAAGAAAAACATCCAAAGAAGAACATCCCTAAAATCTCAAATAATCTAGGTGCACTTAAGAATTTAGAATATCTTATTATTTAAATAGCAAGGACACAAAAACCTTGTAGAGAGCTTAAAGGCACTTTGAGATAAGACAAAGTCAGGGAAATTTTAATTAAAAATTTGTTCATGTAACAGGGCCTGCTTTATGTTTGGAACATAACCCTCACTGTTCTGAAAATTACAGCTCATTTTAAAACTGACATTTTTCTTTTTTCTTCCTCCCTAATTAAGGGGGAAGTGAGATTAACTATTTCCCTCCCCCAACTGAGTTATCTGACCACGGTAAGAATGAAGGAATTTAGACTTTAGAGCTGGTGCCTGCAGGCCTAAGAAACTGTTATCTCTCAAGGCTACAGGTAAATCATGACTCCTGACAGGGCACAGACTTTGCATCACCTCTTTAACAAGTCCCTTGTTTACCTGATAGAATTACAGCCCCTAGATAGAATAATTTAGCTGGTGCATGTAAGTGAGACCTGTACAAAGATATTTTTAAAAAGGGAGCGAGGTCAAGAGGTCTCCCTCAGAATTTGAGTTTTAGCTGAAACTTAAGACTGAGAGATTTATAGCAGAATCTTAGAGTCAGATTGGCCACTAAGTGTATTGGGTCTGACTGTGGTGATTAATGGAGGAGGTAGCTTCTTTTTCACATCAAGGTTAAGTCCTTCCAACAATGTGTCTCAGGTGAATCAAAATGAAGGGGTACTCAAGACACTGGCAGACCAATCCCTCTTTTGCATTTTCCAGATAAGCAATTTATGTTCCCTCTGACCCACCAGGAACAAGGTATGTTGGCCTCAGGGACTCTCCTATCTTGGATGCTTTTTTTGTTGTTCTTTTTATTTTTTTTTTAAGAGAGAGAATTTTAATATTTATTTTTTAGTTTTCGGTGGACACAACATCTTTGTTTGTATGTGGTGCTGAGGATTGAATCGGGGCCGCACGCATGCCAGGCGAGCGCGCTACCACTTGAGCCACATCCCYAGCCCTTGTTGTTCTTTTTAGATACACATGACAGTAGAGTATATTTTGACATATCATACATACATGGAGTATAACTTCCCATTCTTGGTCATRTATGCATATATGAACATAGGAAAGTTACATCCAATTCATTCTACTGAATTTCTTAGGTGCTTTTATAATTAAGCATTCATCTTCTTAAGGGAGAAAAGGGCTTTAGTCCAAGGAAAGGAGGAAGAAAAAAAGTAAGAACATACTTGTTTAAGTCCCACAGAGGCTGAGAAACCTATATGATTCCCACTATGCAGCATGAGGGAGAGAAAGGGCTTTAAAAATGACCACTGATYGATCTCCTTCACAGTTTTAGAGTTCGGACTCTCACCAGATCCCTAGGATGGCCTCAGCTGTTATCTTAGTGCCACCTGAATTTACATGGCCTTTTTTTCCAGTCACCCAAGAAAGGGGATGGCAAATGAGGTAGGTGGAGATTATGTTCTTTGATCTTTGAAAGTGGAGGGGAGGGTGTTATAGCTACAGTAACTAACAGAATAAGTCATAGTCAAGACAGAAAATATTTGTTAATACAAAATCAGTGCCTCGCAYTGAGTGCCAAGAGATGTCACAGGAGAAGAGATGTCTTTGGAGAAGTGTCCAAGGAGTTCCCAGAAAAGAGGGGGATGACTCAGGACCAGAGGGTGTCTTGGCATACGTGACAGAAAAAAATTTCACCATGAGTCAGACAAAGGCATAGAGAGAGGTTTATTTATTCAAGGGTGAATGTGGGCTATCTCAAGAGAAAGCATGAGCTGGGGTTGTAGCTCAGTGGTAGAGCACTTGCCTAGCATGTGTGAGGCACTGGGTTTGATTCTTAGCACTGCATATAAATATACAAATTTTAAAAATAAAGGTCCATTAATTACTAAAAATTTTTGTTACAATTTTTTAGCTGTTGATAGACTTTTATTTATTTATATGTGGTGCTGAGAGTCAAACCCAGTGCCTTATACATGGCAGGCAAGTGCGCTACTGCTGAGCCCCAGCCCCAGCTCCTAAATTTTTTTTTTAAATATTAGAAAAATAACTGAGAAGCAGCTCTGATGTGGGCTGAAGGTTTAATATTTATGGAAGGGATATATCAGGGGCCAGACTGAAGGGGATCCAGAGTGGAACTGCACAATTTCATGCCAGTTTTCTGCACTTGCAAATTTTCCTCATTTTACAAGGGCATGTTTCTCAAGATTTACAACTATGTTTTCTAACATCTCAATGTCTTGTGGGTGTTTCCTTTAAGATTCAATATTTCTCTCTCTTTATCCTAAATCCCTATCTCAATTTCATTTGCAAATAATAATTTTAAACATCTAAATCTCTTGCCTATGGATTGGTTAGTACCTTATTGGTTAGTACTTTAAAATAGTGGTGACATYCAACTGGAGGTATAGCTCAGTCGTAGGACACTTGTACAGCATATGTGAGTCACTGGATTTCACCCCCAGCACCACGAAAACAACAACATAATAAACCATAAAAATAAATTTATATTGGTGATACAGCTACAAGGCCATCTTTTTTTATTTCACTTGCCCTGAGTAACAACTAAGAGTATATTTCCATGGCCTTATGTTGTTTTGTTTTCCAGGAAAATTTTATCTTAAAGAGTATTTAAAAGTGCATKCCTGTAATCCCAGCAGCTCATGAGGCTAGGGCAGGAGGATAGCAAGTTCAAAGCCAGTTTGAGCAACTTAGTGAGACCATGTCTCTAAATAAAATATAAAAAAGGATTGGGGATGTGACTCAGTRGTAGAGCACCCCTGCGTTTAATCCCTAGTACTGCCAAAAATAATGATGATGATGATGATGACAGATGTTGAGTTTTGTCAAATCTGTCAAATAACTTTTTGTGAAGTGTGATTTTTTTTATTATTTTTATTTTGGGGGGTACCAGGCATTGAACTCAGGGGCACTTGGCCACAGAGTTACATCCCAACACTTTTTTTGTATTTTATTTAGAGACAGGGTCCCACTGAGTTGCTTAGTGCCTCACTTTTGCTGTGGTTGGCTTTGAACTTATGATTCTCCTGCCTCAGCCTCCCAAGCTCTGGGATTACAGTTGTGTGCCACCATGCTCAGCATGAAGTGTGATTTTAATACTTCATTTTCACAAGATCTATTTCTTAGATCTATTAACATACTCAATTACATTAAGCCATCATTACATTCTTAGCATAAATCTATTTGTTCCTGGTGTATCATTCTTTAAAAGTACCGTAGACTCTATAATATTTTATTAAGGATTTTTTCCATTGATAACTAGGAGTAAGTTTGGCAGGTAGCTTACTTCTTATGGTCTGGTCATATCTTTGTCGTGTTTTGGCTTGATTTTTAGGTTTGCATCATTAAAAATGTGAAAGATTATCTTTTGTGCTCTGGAACAGTTTAAGTAATGGTAAATTTAGCTRTTCTTTTGAGGTTTGCAGATTTCACTTTTAATATTATATAGGCTTGGTAATGTTTTGGGAGAATTCTTTGACACTATATGACAACTGGTTTGTTCAAGATTTACTGAAGATTTTGAAGAACTAAGTGACATGAACTTATCTGAGTAAAATCACGAAAAACTGAAATATATGGATCAATGTAGGGAGCCACATTGAATGACCACGCCTTCCAGTCCTGATGCCTCAGGCCCTGGCCAACCACTGCTTTTGTTGTGGCCTTGTCTGAGGCCTGCTGGAATAGCAAGGGGGTCTTCTTAGTGGGGTGTGCCCTTAGGGTGGAGTTAACTCACCAGTTCCCTGGTACTCCTGCCCATTCTGCCGTTTTTTTGGATAGAACTTTCTAAGAACAAGAGTCCCCCCAATAAAAACCCATTTCCGAACGTGTTCCCTCTTTCTCATCAGCCTCTTGTGATTTTCTCTTGCTCTCCCTTTTGGGGAGTCTGAGGCTAAGAGCCGGTGAAGCTGCCCTGAAGCTTATATAAAGGTAAATTGTGTCTATGTTTTGTTTTGTGTCTCTGCAAATTCACATGAGTGATCTTAATTCAGCTCTTTTGCTGAGTTACCCGCACTGGTTGGAGGTGGCAGATCAATATTTCCTAATAATATTTAGTTTTATACTAATTGTATAAAAATGTTAATCCCATTCAGGGTCATTTTTTTTTTTCCAGAAAACTCTTCTTTAATATTTAATGCTACCGGGGCTGGAATTGTGGCTCAGTGGTAGAGTTCTCGTCTAGCATGTGCAAGGCCCTGGGTTCGATCCTCAGCATCACATAAAAATAAATAATAAATAAATAAACAAAATAAAGGTATTGTGTCCAGCTACTTCTAAAAAATAAATATTAAAAAAATATTTAATGCTACCATAATAAAATCATCAATAGAAGGCCAGGCATGGTGGTGTCTGCCTATACTCCCAGCTACTTGGCAGGCTGAGGTAGAAGGAGTGTAAGTTCAACTCCAGTTTGGAAAACTTAGACTCTGTCTCAAAAACAAACAAATGACAAACAAATGGCAACAAAAGTCACCAACAGATGTAAAAGGAATAAAATATTGACCGATTATCGGTTCTCTAACAAGAATGGCTGGGTGAAGATAATTCTAATACTATGTGTAAGAGAAGTATTATAGTAATATAAGATATTTTTGAATAAAACAAGTTTTGTAGAATCCTTTGTGAAGGAATATTTTTGTATTTAAATGCTAAAAGCTGGACTGCGGCATAAAATATAGGATTGTGTTACCACATGATCAGTGAAATAAACAAAAGAAGGGATGATGGTGAGGATGTAAAACTAGCCCAGATGATACTGAGACATCTCATTTCTTTAGATATTGAGGAAAATCCTCAAAGATACTAAATGTGATTGATTACTAGATAGGCTCATTTGATTCATCAACATTTTAAATGTTTAGTGCAGTGTAGATATACATAATGTTGTACTATACGTTAGCATTATATACTATAATATATACCTAGTATATCCTACAGTACTATAACRACTAAAATGAATCTCATTTTGACATAATTATATATGCCTCTWTTTTTATACCTTTTTWAAAATTTATTTTATGTGGTGCTGAGGATCGAATCCAGGGCCGCGCGTCCTAGGCAAGCGCTCTACCACTGAGCCACAATCCCAGCCCTTGACATAATTATATATGTATGGAATAAAATTTGCTCCACTTTAGTCCCCATTTCCTTCTGCTCCTCCCTCTCCCAATCTCATTCCTCTAGTCATTTTCCTTCTATTTACTTACAGTTCTTTAAAATTAGCACTTCAAAGATATACCTAAAAGTGAAGTTTACTGTGGTCTATTCATATATGTACATAGTACAATTTGATCAATTTCATCCCAATATTCCTGAACCCTTTTCCTGTCTCTTCTTCATCTACATTAAAAAAAAAAATTGTAGTTGTAGACTAACACAATGCCTTTATTTTATTTGTTTATTTTTACGTGGTGCTAAAAATAAACATTTATATGTGGTGCTGAGGATSGAACCCAGGGCCTCACACATGCTAAGCAAGTGTTCTGCCACTGAGCTACAGCCCCAGCCCCASCCTCATCTGCATTTTTTGAATATTAGCTGTTTATTGTTAGGCCCAAGGCGGGGGAGATGGAAGGCTACAAAGATAGAGAAGCCATAATTCCTATCTCGAAGTCTATTCAGAGATAGTCACACCACACGAAAAGATGATTATGTAGTATGATACAGAAATAACAATTATGGCATTTGTACAAAGTGTACAGAAGAGGAGTCAGGATAGGGTATAATTAGGTACAGATTCTGAGAATCTGGACCCTTGAATTGTCTCTCAA